CAATCACTGCCCAAACGTTGAAACTGCTCGAACACTGAACCGCCTAAAGCGGCATACGTTGCTACATAGCTACTTACCAAAAGCTACCAAGATCTCCTGGGTCTTAATTCACTTGCCAATCATCTGAAATAGTGGGTTCCCACCCGGCTGCGGAGCCAAAGGACTCCTCACTTAGTCGCGTCACACGACTTCTAAACGATCCTTCTCTGGAGCTAGTTGCCACTAGTTATCATGCTAGTGTGACTCTACTACTTTCTGATCTAATCGATCGGGTCCATACGTCGAATCCTGTCATCATCAAATCCAAGGCTGGAAGTGATTGCTACCTGACCAATGGTAGCCTTATCTCACACACAATCTTATACATTCCATTGCTTTCCTGATCCCGTAACTGTAGCGACGCTCCTACAGTCTCATTACTGGCTTAACCAGATCTAATCCATTTGGGTAAATCCGAAATCCAATAGGTGGATTTCCATATCCTCACTGCTACACCCAAACTAGTGGGTACTACTGTTCCTTCTGCATCCTAACAATGCGCTCACACTATCTACTAACCTGGTGAATGTTGCGGCTACACCCGCGGTCTCACAACACTATCTTTATCTGACCACTAGTGAATGCTACGGTTACCCCCGCAGTCTTACAACACTTCCCATACTATCTGACTACTAGTGAATGCTACGGCTACCCCCGTAGTCTTACAACACTTTCCATACTATCTGACTACTAGTGAATGCTACGGCTACCCCCGTAGTCTTACAACACTTTCCATACTATCTGACTACTAGTGAATGCTACAGCTACCCCCGTAGTCTTACAACACTTTCCCAACCGGGTCGAACACGCACTCGACCTAACCCTCAACTAAACTCGAGTCCTAACCGGAACTCTAACCGGGTTCCCAAAACCTGCTATCACGTGACCCCACTGTATCAGTACCGCACCCATGCCCGTGATCAAAGCGTCACAGTTAACCACGAAATCATCTACACCCTCTGGCAGGGTGAGAATCGGTGCCTCGCACAACCGTTGTCTGAGAGTCTCGAATGCTGCCTGTTGCTCAGGCCCCTAATGAAAGGCCACCGACTTCTTGGTCAGTCAGGTCAAAGGAACCACAATCTCGGAGAAGTCTCGCATAAGTCTTCGTAATAACTCGCTATACCCAGGGAATTCTGAATCTCAGATGGAGACCTCGGAATCTCCCACTACATCACGACCTTTATCTTGGCCGAATCAACTAGAATACCTTTCTGGTTGACAAGGTGGCCAAGAGATTGCACCTTGCGCAACCATAACTCACAGTTGGAGAACTTTATAAAAAGTCTCTCCCCCACTTAAGTTCGACTAAGTCTTCACATTACTTGAGAATTGAAGGATTCCCAATCCTTCTCACTTTCTAACATCCCACTGATGACAACTTGTGCCTGCCAATGCTAGCGTTTAATCGCCGATTAAACCTTGAGATCTCCCATCCTCGGAAATCTTGATGAGTACTCTTGAAATCTAATCTAGTCTGACACCTCAATCCATCTAACATGTTGTCGAGTGAAGGCCTTAATCTTCACTCTAGCTGACGAATCCTCATTCCCACTCCCAATCTTGCAGTACCACTGAACTCTAACCGAACACAGCCCATGCGAAAATAAAATTTTATTGAACATGCGATGACCAACCACTTATGCATCTAACACCCGCGACTGACACTACCCTCATCCTGTCACCAGTTCTGTCCTAGCGACAGTAATGCCTTGAACTCCAAAGTTCATCCATAAACAACTACCGACCATACCTGAACAATGATAGGATCACTGAACGTTGACTTCACTGGAAAACTATCACTCCAACCCTGACTGAGTATTCTCTAAATAATACTCCTGCATAGATCCCGACAAGGATCCGAAATGATAACGGTATGCGTGGAACCCACTCCACAAGATACATCCCTATTTGGATTCATCAAGGACCTTTCGGCATGCAGAATGGCATATATGATCCTTGGTAATCCAAATACTAGCAGAAAAACCGACCCTAGGTCTGACTTATCCAAACTCGCTCACAATTCCAAAGCGGTACGTATTCCAAGCATCCACCTAATATCATAGAAGATGATATTCCCGCAACATCTAGAGGAATACTGACCCCCTTCTGCTGACATGACCAATCCTGCTACCCTGTAGCAACCTAAACCCTTGGAGTGACAAACTCCCTCATGTACTTTCTCGTATGCGCTACACTGACTCAGGCCCTGCTGGCCTTTCACCCGATGATCATAAGTCATGGGTCTCTTCCCGAAACCCTCTACTATACGCACCTGGCATGTACCTCTCTTTCCATGGTGCTTGCAAATCGATCCCACATCTGCAACTCTTGGAAATCATATCCTTCAGGGTCTGACACCCTGTCACGCTCACTAGCTCGCATGCCAATGACTAAGCTGCAACAACTGGAACATCCTCTGTCCCCAAACTGGGTCATAAACTCTTCCTTGAAGTTTCTTAGATTCTCCAAGACTCTCACTGATTCGAGTATGGATCCTGTGCTTTCAGTAGTACGGGCCCAATACTACCTTCCACACCTATCCATACTTTCCTCAGCAATCCTCCCGGATCCTCCAAGTCACTTCCTCAACTGGTACACCCAAGTCTAACTGAGCCTCACTACTAACTCACTGAAATATATCCTAGGCTTCCCTAGGTTCCCGAACTCACCCAATCCTCAGCTGCGGAAAGATTCCCAGTAATGTCAACTAGCTACCTTATGAATATAGCCACATGCAACAGAGATCAAATAATCCTTCAAGTAAAAGACCCATCCCTAGAACGGTTGGACTCAGACAAGAGCTACACAATAGGATCAAGTCTCGCACTCTGAGATTATCCAGCCTGTATCCCATGTGACCTAGCATATTCACTTAATAGTTAACTCACATTACTAAGAGTCCCACAAAGCACAGAGCAAGCAGCATTCAGACAATGGGAAATCTAACCATCGTATTCCAATAAGATCATTCTATCCTCTAATTAGGGATCTGTACATGCAATTCAAAGGCTCATACAATCAGGCATAACCTAAACAGGCTATCCTATCACTGATTGATCAGCACTAGCATGCAAGTGTACAAGCACATACAATAGGCATATAAGGCATCCTCCTAGATCCTTAGCCCTAAGCTAGCATGCAATTCTCATAATCATATCATAACAGGTATGGGTATCTTGGGGAAAACTTACTTGAGCTCGGCTGATTGCACGCATCATACACTTTGTTCCTCTCAAAGTTCCTTTCTCTTTTCAGATTCTTTTCAAACTCCTTTTTATAAAATGGTTTTACTTTTGAAAATTTTCATACCAAGCCGTTAGTTTGAGTTCAGACACACTCGAGAGTATGTCTGAATCCCTCAAACCAAGGCTCTGATACCAACTTGTAACATCCCAAAAATACAAGCCAAAAATTTCATTTTTAAATACACCATGATAAAACCAACAGTGCAATAAAAAATCCGTAATATCATGTCATGTCAAAACCACAGTAGAAATAATCAAACGTATTTTCATAAAATAATATCAGAGTGTAATCCCAAAGATCTCATGTGCGGAAAACCATAGTGTGATGCGCTGCGATCAAGTCGGCTCCTTTCCTTTAGACACGAAGTACCTGAAACCAAAACTGAAAACCGTAAGCACAAAGCTTAGTGAGTTCCCCCATCATACCACATACCACACAATCATATAACATACATATACTGTCAGGCATATCCAGTGGCGAGTTTGTATATATATTTGGTGGGTCACTTGACCCACCTTTTTTTTATATATATATTACAAGTTATATATAATAAATTAGTGGGACCCACCTTAAAAAATATGAGTGAACCATCTAAATATTTTTAACAAAAATATATATAATAATAAATTAGATATTAGAGCTTTTGTTCTATTTTGTCGTAGCCCAATGTTTTTAGGGTATAGTCCAATAAAATTAAATTTAAAACAAAAAAAAAAACAAGTTAATGCGCCTCACGAACAACGCAGTTTTGAGTTTTCACAGGGGCTTCAATTTCATTCAAGCAGCACCATTTGGCATTTGCCCAATGCCCACCATAGGTATATTACTTAATTAGTCAATTTTAGAAATTTTGTCATTTTATGAATTGTGATTAATATATTATTTTTTGTTTTGGAATTCTAATACCACTAATCAGTGGCGAGTTTGTATATATATTTGGTGGGTCACTTGACCCACCTTTTTTTTATATATATATTACAAGTTATATATAATAAATTAGTGGGACCCTCCTTAAAAAATATGAGTGAACCATCTAAATATTTTTAACAAAAATATATATAATAATAAATTAGATATTAGAGCTTTTGTTCTATTTTGTCGTAGCCCAATGTTTTTAGGGTATAGCCCAATAAAATTAAATTTAAAAAAAAAAAAAAAAAAAAAAAAAACAAGTTAATGCGCCTCACGAACAATGCAGTTTTGAGTTTTCACAGGGGCTTCAATTTCATTCAAGCAGCACCATTTGGCATTTGCCCAATGCCCACCATAGGTATATTACTTAATTACTTAATTTTAGAAATTTTGTCATTTTATGAATTATGATTAATATATTATTTTTTGTTTTGGAATTCTAATACCACTAATGGTTAATGGACGATTTACAATTCCCAAATCATTAATCTTCATAAATCCCATGAATTGCTCCCGATTACAACTATTTTAATAATATCGAATAGTTACTGTGAATTTTTCTTTTCAGTTGTTACTTTTGATTGCCTTATTCCATGATTCTAATTTTTAAATAGGCTTTCTTTATTGTTTTTAATTTTCATTGTCAATTGATTATTGGATTGTTGTTTATTTGTTTGAATATTTGATTGTTGTTTGTGAATTATTGTTTGTTTCAGAAATTAAAATCAAGAATGTCTTTATTCAAGTTTTTTAAAAAGAGTGATAAAAATACAGTAGAAGATAACGAGCAACATAAACATATGAGAGTTGATTTAAGTTCACTACCTATTGACCCAGCAGAACGACCAAGTATGGAATATTATCATGTGAATCAAAGAGATGAAATTAGAAGAGCATACTTGCAAAAAGGACCTTTCCAACCTCAAAACTATAAGTTTCCACAAAGTGCTTTTGGAGGTAAACAACGAAGATTCAATATATCTTGGTTTGATGACAATAAATATTGGTTAGAATATAGTATAAAAGAGAATGCCGCATTTTGTTTATGTTGTTATCTGTTTAAATCCGATATACCAAACCAAGGTGGATCAGATCATTTTGTGAAATGTGGTTTTAAAGCTTGGAATAGGAAATCAGGACTAGATGATCATAGAGCTGGAAATCCACATATTATTGCTGTCCAAAAGTGTCAAAATTTGATGAACCAAAGGCAATCCATAACTACTGCTTTTGAGAAACAAACCACTTTGCAAGAAAAAGAATATTGTATTCGTTTGAATGCTTCAATTGATTGTGTTAGATTCTTATTACGTCAAGGATTGGCATTTCGTGGTCATGACGAGACGGACGACTCGGATAATAAAGGTAACTTTCTTGAACTTTTACAATGGTTAGCTGATCGATGTGATGTGGTAGATCGTGTTGTGTTAAAGAATGCTCCAAAAAATACCCAACTGAAATGCAGTGATATCCAGAAAGATATCGTGCATGCATGTTCAGATGCAACAATAAATGTTATTATGGAAGATCTTGGAAAAGATTTTTTTGCAATTTTCGTAGACGAGTCACGTGATATTTCTTGTAAAGAACAATTGGCATTAGTATTGAGGTTTGTAAATAAAAAGGGGGAAGTTGTAGAAAGGTTTATTGGCCTTAGACATGTCAGTGACACTTCAGCTTTGACACTAAAGGCAACCATTTATGATATGCTCTCAAAATGGAATTTAAGTAATACTAGCATTAGAGGGCAAGGCTATGATGGTGCTAGTAACATGAGTGGTGCATTTAATGGATTGAAGACTTTGATTATGAATGAAGCAAAATTTGCATACTTTATTCATTGTTTTGCTCACCAATTACAGTTAGCCCTAGTGTTTGTTGCAAAAAATCACACGAAGGTTAATGATTTCTTTGACGCGGTTTCTCGACTATTAAACATTATTGGATCTTCCTACAAGCGACGAGATAATTTAAGAATAAAACAAGCGAATAAAGTTATGGAAGCATTGGTTAAAGGTTTGCTTTATAATTGTACTAGATTTATTATTAAAATATTTTGTGGAAATGTTATTTTAATTAAACTTTTATATGGTAAATTTTAGGTGAGCTTGAGAGTGGTACCGGTTTGAACCAAGAAGTGGGTATCAAACGACCATCTGATACTCGATGGGGTTCTCATTTTTCATCTTTATTGAATATCAAGAACATATATTCTTCCATTTGTGAAGTACTTGAAGACCTTGGTAGAGATAATAGTGATCGTGATCGTAAAGCTGAAGCAATTCGCATCTTAAGGTTATTAAAATCCTTTGATTTTGTGTTTTGTCTACACTTGATGGTTGATATCTTGGGAGTCACAAATCATTTAAATACAACATTACAAAGAAAAGACCAAGATATCGTAAATGTCATGAATCAAGTAAGTAGCTCTAAAAGAGCAATTCAAGAAATCAGAGATGTAGGATGGGAACCACTTTTAGGGAATGTTACTTTGTTTTGCGATAAACATGATGTTAGAATTGTGGATATGGAAGATGAATAGTATGATGGATTCAGTCGTCGAAGAGGTTCACAGGTTGGTAACGTTTAATATTACCAACTTGATTTATTTATTGTGTCTTGTCATTAGCATGTTAAAGAATTTTTTTTTTTTTCAGATTAACAACTTGCACCACTATCATGTTGATGTATTTAAGGCAGTGATTGATATGCAACTTCAAGAGCTTAACCATCGCTTTAATGAAGCCAACACGAAATTACTTCTTTGCATAGCTTGTTTGTGCCCGCGTGAGTCTTTTAAAGCCTTTGATTTGGATAAACTAATGGAAATGGCTACACTTTATAGGGAAGACTTTCCAACAGAATATGATCTTCAAGTTCTTGAAGTTGAACTTAAAAATTACATTAAGGATGTGCGAGAAGATGAACGATTTAATCAATTGAAGAGCATTGGAGAACTTTCCAAAAAGATGGTCGAAGCACAAAAGCATATAATATATCCTAAGGTTTACATTCTCTTAAAACTTGCATTGATCTTACCCGTTGCAACAGCGAGTGTGGAACGCGCATTTTCAGCAATGAAGTTGGTAAAGACTGATGTACGCAACAAAATGGGTGATCAATTTTTAAGTGATAGTTTGGTGTCATATATTGAAAAAAATGTTTTAGATAGTATTAGTAATGATACAATTGTGAAATTATATCAAGCTATAAGACCTCGTCGAGTACAATTGTAAGAACTTAATTTTTTTTCTTTTCTTTTACGATTCGACCCGATCCGAACCCGCAATAATATATATATTTTTAATATTTTTTTTTCTTTTATCGCTTTCATTTAAATAGTGAACCATGTTGTTTTACGTTCTAGACTCGCCACTGGGCATATCTGGGTGCCCGACCTACCCCTTCGGTCCTCTCGACCGGATACTATCTAGCATATCTGGGTGCTAGCCTCCCCTTCGGTCCTCTCGACCCGATACTGCCTAGCATACCTGGGTGCTGGGCTCCCCTTCGGTCCTCTCGACCGGATACTGCCTAGCATATCTGGGTGCTGGCCTCCCCTTCGGTATCTTTCAACCGGTAATCGGGGACTATTTCACCCCCTAACACTACCACATAAAAGCATAACATAAACACATAAGTCATATACTACCTAGCATATCTGGGTGCTGGCCTACCCCTTCAGTCCTGTCAACCAGTAAGTGGGGACTATTTCACCCCTACTACTACCACATAATATCATATCACATATATCATAATCTGTCTAGCATAGTTGGGTACTAATCTACCCCTTCGGCCCTATCGACCGGTAACCAGGGACTATTTGTGACAACCCTTATTTTTCCCAAAAGCATTGTAAACACTCGAAAGCTAAAAACAACGAAATTAACCTCGAAAATAAAGTGTTCAGGTATCTAAGTTGGGATGCATCGAATATTAGATATCATGCCCGGGTTTCCAAAAACATAAAGAACACTCAAAACCGAGTTATATTGAAGAAATTATAACCACTCGTATAATTACGACCCGACGTTAAAACATAATTTGATGTAAAAAGTGAAATCTCAATAAAATACATTTTAGCCTTAAAGTATCTAAACAAAAGTCGTAGATCTCGTTGAAAGATGAGCGTGCATAAAAAGATCGCCCAATTTGGACCTCGTATGAAGAAGTTACGAATTTTCAAAGTTTCGTAACAGTAGTAAAGGGCTAAAAACTCGGATTGAAGATCGAGTATTATTTAGCTATCGCCACCTAAACGGAAGTTGAAGATCTCCTCGTGGTAATAAAACAATAAAAAGACAAACGAAAACCGACGTCGAATAAAGAACCTATGAAATTTTAACGAACTTTAGGAGCCCGGCCTATTAAAATTATATCATTAAAAATAAAGTCAAAACTAGCCGACGGAGTCTAAATGAAAGTTGTAGAGCATAATCTCACCTACGCGTGGATATAAAGAACGCGAAAAACGGAGCTCGTACGCGAAAGTTACGGAATTTAGAAGTTGGAAGCAGGGATTACGCCCCGCGTAATCTGGGAGTACGCCCCGCGTACTAGACCCAGGGTCGAGTCCCATCGGCCCGCCCAAGCTACGCCTAGCTAGCCAGGAGTCGTAAGCCATGACGCCTTATTACGCCCCGCGTAACCGAAGTACGCCCCGCGTACTGACTACCCCGCGTCCTCGGCACGCGTAGCAGTACGCGCCGCGTACGGGGTTTTCAGCCCTATAAATAGAGGGCATAAGGCTCGGTTTTGGCACACCTTCACCATTTCTCAGACATTCTCCCAGCTCCAGAGACCCTTTTCTCACCTCGGTTTCCGCACTCGAGCCCCGACGAAAGATTTACGTTGCAGAAGTTCCCGAAGAGCCCGACGACGCAACTATCCGAGATCGAAACTCTGCTCAACTCTAGCCCCTCTCTTCAAACTTAACGAGTGAGTTCATACCCCTACTTTTCAATTCTTTTACATGTTTTAGGGGGGAAATACAAGTACATTACACGTTAAAAGTATCGTTTTCTAAACATAAATGCAATTTCTAACTTCGAATATCGATACAAACATCTTATGTATACAAGGGCAATTATATCACTAAGTTATGTCTACGAAATGGAACATACTATCTGAAAAACTATAATGGGTATAGTTAGCAAGTCAATCCTACATTTTATACAATTTGAAAAACGAAACACTTTCAAAAAGGAGTAAAGTCATTTCATTGTAAATCTATTTATACTAGGTAAATGTGAGACATTTAAACTTCAACGTACATTTTTGTATGCATTTCAAGTCCTGTATTATATACCATAATCTCTTGGAGGGAGAGCGTGATACTTGTGTATAGATCTATACGGGATTGACAATCCCGCACCTAAACTACTAGCTATAGTTAGACCGGCAGGTCTGGGGTGACAAATGTCATAACACTGCAACACTTGAAGAATGTTGTTACAGGCCGTCAGTGTCAATAGTATGGTTATAAAACTCACATAAAAAGTATAAAACAAGATTGATTTACAAGGTTCATATGTGCATCGCAGTATTTCTACATTATATTTTCATACTAAATTATTGTTATCAATTGTTTATAAAAGTTACTAACACATTCCAACTTTGGAACCTTTTACATTTCTCAAGAAAATATTGGATTTTCTAAAGATCTCGTTTACCAAATTACTACCAAAAGGAATATACTTTTCAACTCGGAACACTCATGAACTCACCAACTTAAATGTTGACACTTTTCAAAACCACTTGTATTTCTCAGGGAATCAGTGATACAGGTAAACTACCAGCTTTTGGAAGAAGGAACACAAAGGATGATTTTATCATTAAACATTTATTCATCATATTGTAATATTCTTTTGATAACATGTATAACGCAACAATACACGTTTTCATTGTTATATATATGATGGTTGTGTTACTTTCTTTGCAATATTCAATCGTTGTGATACTACGTGAAGTCATCCACCCCCGAATGTTTCCGCCATTCTGGTTTGGGGGTGTGACACTAATGGTTTTTCACCCCCTACTACCACTATCACATAACATCATATCATGCTAACACATAAACATAGCATGTAGTAGCAAACATAGACAATTATCACAAAGATAATCATCTAACAACAACTCCTACTGGTAGGCCGACATTATGGCCGTAGACTCACCGCTACTGGAAGGTAACTCACCTCACACTGCTGAAGTCCCGAAGACACAATCCCACACTTGCTGAAATCCCGCAGACTCAACCCCAGTTGCTGGATGATAGATTCCCGATCTGTCAATATCAAAACATCACCCAATTAATAATTGGGTCCCACTATATAACCATAAACACTTACTTTGGATACTTACATTACCCCAAGCTTGGCTTATTCAAGCCCAAGCCCCAATCCATAGGCCCAAAGTCAACTAGGAACCAAGGCCCAACACATGGCCCATTTTTCCAAATTAGGCCTAGGCCTATACATGGTCTTATTCTAAGGCCCAACATCATGTAATTATTAAGGCCCAAACTATGGCCCATTTATGGCCCAATTTTCCAAATTAGGCCTAAACCCCTTACATGGGCCTTACCCTAAGTCCATTAAATTATTTTAGTCCATATAATTATTCTTGGATGGCCCATTATTAATCCAATCATCAAGGCCCAATAGAAAGGCCCAACAATAAACCCAAGTGAAGTTAGGGTTTCACATAAAATGTCGATTAGGGTTACGTTTCCTACTTAACCCATTAAGTCCATCATTCTTCTACATAAGTCATATGGTGTGATTGAGCTTAATCACACAATTCCATTCCAATAGCCCAAATGTGGATCTCGATAAATCCAAGCCCATAATCCCAAATTAGAGTTTTCACATGAAATGATGATTAGGGTTCGGTGTTTCTTTCTTAACCCATTAAGGACTTAATCCATTAAGTCCATTATGCCTTATGTTAGTTTTCACATGAAATGATATTCCACCTTGACCTTGGCACAAGTGAGGCACTTGCTCACATAAGTAGCAATTTCAGCCTTCATGTTTGGCCACCAGAATAACCTTTTGAGGTCTAGATACATCTTATCTGACCCAGGGTGAATGGAGTATCGAGTCTTGTGGGCCTCGTTCATTACAACATCTCGGTACCCACCGAACTTCGGTGTCCAGATTCGATTCATGAGATAACGAGTTCCATCCCCTTTGACTTCCAAGTTCTTATCCATCCCCCTTAGTGCTTCGCTTGCCACGTTTTCTGGTTTCAAGGCTTCTAATTGGGCATCCTTGATCTGGGTGGCTAGTTGGGAGTGGATGGTCATGGCTAGGGATTTTACTCGGCGACCCGAGTATTCTTTCCTGCTTAAGGCATCGGCTACTACATTGGCCTTGCCTGGGTGGTAACGAATTTCACATTCGTAGTCATTCAGTAATTCCACCCATCTTCTTTGGCGCATGTTAAGTTCTTTTCTGATTGAGAATGTGCTGAAGACTTTTGTGATCAGTGAAGATGGTGCACTTGGTGCCGTAGAGATAGTGCCTCCAGATCTTCAGGGCG